GTAGTGTAGTGTATAGTGGTGTATGGTAGTGTAGTATACAGTATTGTGTGTAGTGTATAGTAGTGTAGCCTATATTACTGTGGTGTATAGCAGGGTATAGTGTAGTGTATAGCAGTGTATATTACTAGTGTATAGTGATGTATAGTAGTGTATATTGGTGTATGGTAGTGTAGTGTACAGTATTGTGTGTAGTGTATAGTGTAGTGTATAGTAGTGTAGCCTATATTACTGTGTATAGCAGCATATAGTGTAGTGTATAGCAAGGTGTATTCCTATAGTGTATAGTGATGTATAGTAGTGTATAGTGCAGTGTACAGTGTAGTGTATAGTAGTGTAGCCTATATTACTGTGGTGTATAGCAGCGTATAGTGTAGTGTATAGTAGTGAATATTACTAAAGTGTATAGTGATGTAGAGTAGTGTATAATAGTGTAGTGCATAGTGGTGTATGGTAGTGTAATGTACAGTATTGTGTGTAGTGTATAGTAGTGTAATGTATAGTAGTGATGTGTATAGTAGTATAGTGTATAGTCAGGTAAAGCATAGTGCCGTGTGTAGTGTATAGTGTAGTGTATAGTAGTGCAGTGTATAGTGTTGGGAGAATAAATCCATGCTCACAATTGTTCTCTCAAACACACTGGTGGGCTGCAGTAGTAACCACCCGGCACGAGGTTTCGTCTACGTGACACAACCTTGCTGGCTGATGCCGGGTGGTGGAGTGCTCAACGACATATCTACAACTCACAAGCGAGATCTGACCCCCCCAAAAGAGAAAACCTTTATTCGTGAATAACTCGGCGTTCAACTCAAAACAGGAAACTTAAATCTCGACTTGAAGCTTTCGCGACTGCAGGGATTCACACTCTTTGGTTCTTTTGGTAAAGTCACCACGTAGAAGGGAAACAATAAAATAAAAAAATAAAAAATATAAAACAATAAGATAATTCTATTGCTTTATATTTTTATTATTTTATAGTTTCCCTTCTACGTGGTGACTTTACCGAAAGAACCAAGAATAAAAAGTAAAATGTTTATTTCTACCGACGTGACTTTACCGAAAGGACCAAAGAGTAAGGAAACTTAAACTGAGATGGTTGGATATTTCTTCGTTCGGACGGCCCTTCCCTTCCTAGAGGCGGCCTTGACCTCTCCTTGTTCTTCTCCGGAATCTCCTACTTCGTCTGCCGCCGCCGCCACTTCGTATTTCTTGCCGAGCTGCACTTGGGGGTTTTTGCTCACGGCCACCGCGGCCGAGCGTAAGGCCGGAGTCTCCCGCCGTCCTCCCTCTCCGCCTCCCCCACCTCTCCCTGCTCCGCTCTCCCCGTATCCCCGCGTTGCCCTGGCCCGTCGGGGTGGTGGGGAAACCGTCAGCTCCAGCCGCCGCTGTATCGCGCGCAGGTAACCTTGCAGCTGCGACGCAGCCGCCGGCGTTATCGCCACCTGCCGGGGGGCGGCCTCCTCCGTCTCGGCCGCGCGACGAGGAGGAGGCGGAGGAGGAGGATCGCCGTTCGCAATCCTGTTCATGGCAACGACAGTAGCAGCGGGAACGGCACGTTTTGAGCGTCAGGGAGGAAGCCCGTACCCTTTCTGGCAATAAAGCACGAGTTGTGTTCAGATGTTGGAACGCCAAATAGAAACCTTTTGCATGGAATCAAGTTCACATTAACCACACGCAGCACTTGTGTGGTGGGTTCCATTTAGGCGCACACTAGAACTGGAGGCAACAGGTAACTCTCAACAGGATGACGACATAGGGCGGTAACCACCGCTCCCAACTTAGCTAATTATATTACCGGACCAGGACAGCTCAACACGCTGCCTGGTCCACTAGCGGAGACCGGAGACCGAGGACCTTAGATGGCGGCTTCATTCCCAGAGTTGACCCAGCAGCCCCGCTCCCACCCGGGACTTGGTTTATAACTGTGTGGCCGGCTCTGCCCTTGGCCACGCCCCCTTCCAGATCCTTCCGGGAGGGGGCGTGGCCGGCTCTGCCCTTGGCCACGCCCCCTTCCAGATCCTTCCGGGATGGACCCTGGGTCCTTATCACGTAACCCTCACGTCCCCCCTTGCCCCCTCGTCCAGTCACGTGCCCTCTCGGGTTCACCCAGGATATCATGTCCTGACCCGACCTCAGCGACACCCGGACCCTGCCCTCTAGTGAGCCATTCCGTGCCGTGCTCACTCTGGTACCATAGAGCGGCACCACGCATACAGCACCACTCTTCACTCGCTACTGTCGCTACAGAGTAGTGACACCATTTATGTCGCTACACTTGTGGTGAACATGCAAACAAACATGCTCTGGTAGTATATGATGCATTGTCTTTGAAACTGATTGGTCCACACCAGGGAGAGCTATCTTTAGAGCCTAGCCTCAAACAGTGTTAGACCAGAGGATGCCAAAAGGCGAACAGCACAGACACAATGCCACTATCAGCACATTGAGAGCTCGTTGTGAGCAGCTACGTCATGTGCAGCTACATCATGGGAGGTCCCATGGTGACGTCGAATTTGTTATCGGTGAAAACAAACGGCATCCCACGCGATAGCCGCGGTCAAAAAATAAATAGCGGAAGACATTTCCGCGTTCGATATTTCGAGGCTTACCTCGCGTGATATATTTTTGCTCCTCTCCCCAATGACTTCAAGTAGGAATCTGCAGAAGTGCGGGCACGCAGCGCGCCCTCCCGTCGAACGAGGGCACTGGCTAAGTAATGAACGTGTCAGCAGCGACGACGCACGTCCAGTTTCAAGTAACCGCGTGAAGGAAGCCGAGTGACAGCGGAGGGAGTTAGTGACATGGGTTAGCAGCAGTAGCAGCTGTAGAACATTACCGCTGAAGGCCTACGAGATAGAAGTGTCTAGGGCCTACAAGAACCTTAATCTGGCCCTGACTGAAGGCCTACGAGATAGAAGTATCTAGGGCCTACAAGAACCTTAATCCAGCCCTTACTGAAGGCCTATGAGACAGAAGTGTCTAGGGCCTACAATAAACCTCAATCCGGCCCTGACTGAAGGCCTACGAGATATAAGTGTCTAGGGCCTACAAGAACCTTAATCCAGCCGTGACTGAAGGCCTACGAGATAGAAGTGTCTAGGGCCTACAAGAACCTTAATCCGGCCCTGACTGAAGGCCTACGAAATATAAGTGTCTAGGGCCTACAATAAACCTCAATCCAGCCCTGACTGAAGGCCTACGAGATATAAGTGTCTAGGGCCTACAAGAACCTTAATCTGGCCCTGACTGAAGGCCTACGAGATAGAAGTGTCAAGGCCCTACAAGAACCTTAATCTGGCCCTGACTGAAGGCCTACGAGACAGAAGTGTCTAGGGCCTACAAGAACCTTAATCCAGCCCTGACCGTTGCTGGCGCTTGGCTCGGCTGCCTGGCAACAAGTCAGCTCGGCCAGGTCGAGAGCCAGGCTGAGGCCGCCCACGGCGTACATCACGTACAGGAAGACGGTCTTCTCCGTGGGCCTCGACACGAAGCAGTCGACGCGGTGGCGGCAAGGGTGGCGGCGGGGGCACTCGAAGCGGGGGATCACCTCCAAGCCGTACATCACGTACTGGCCCAGAAGGAAGCCCACTTCGGCCACCGTGCGCAGGACGAGCTGCAGCGTGTATGCCCACATGAGGCCGTCGGCCGGGATCGCGCGGCGCCCGTCGTGCCATCTGTGGTCGTTCTTCTTGACCTCGCCAGCCTCGTCGGCAAACTCCCCTCCTTTCTCCGCTTGGACATTCTCCTCGGCTTGCTCGGTCCGTCGGTGCTTTTTGTGGCCGGTCGAGCCTTCTGACCTGCGGATAACGACGCGGGAATGAAAGTTTAAAAATATCCTTCTCACCAAAACAAAGAGTGGAATTAAGGTTTTTTTTTTTGGGGGGGGGGGCCTTCATCGTCATTATCATCATCACGATTATCGTCATCGTCGTAACTCTACTAGACCTCTGTATCCTGTGTATGGCGAAGGCGAGGTAGAGAATGCTGGGCGCCGCCACGGTGATAATCTGAAAAATCCAGAAGCGCACGTAGGAGAGGGGAGCGAAGGAGTCGTAGCAGACGTTTGTGCAGCCCGGCTGTTGCGAGTTGCACATGAACGAGCTCTGCTCGTCGTGGTAGATGGATTCGCCCGCCGCGATAGTCAGCATGATGCGCAAGATCAGGAACGTGGTGAGCCAGAGCTTGCCCAGGTACGTCGAGTGCAGAGATATCTCCTCCAACAGACGGGTCAGGAAGCTCCAGCTCATTGCGACCGCCGGCTCACCAAAAGCGTTGCCCGCCTGAGAATTCCAGAAGAGAGACGCGGATTTAGACGGCGCGTTGGCCGGCCGCGCGTCAACCAATGTCGCACGTTGGGCACCGCATTCAGCTCGAGACACCGTCGATCGTCATCGATTATCCGTCACCACACGATTATCATCCGACATTATCCAGCGGTCCTGGGCCGATCTGGCGAAACTGGCAAAGCCGCTCCAAAGGCCGTAGTAAACCAGTCCCGGCGATCGGCACCATTGTGCAGCGTGACCAAAAAAAAGCGTAGCCGCACTTGTGTTAGAGGATGTCTCACCCGTCCTCACACACTCTGGTGTTAAACCGGAGCCGGTCATGAGCACACTGGGCAGATGTGAGAAACTCTGCACTCTCGCCACAACTGAGCACTATTAATTCAGCAGTGCATAGTGACTGTGGTGGTCCGTGCTATTACTACAGCAGTGCATAGTGTGGTGGTACCTGCTTTCCCTGCAGCAGTGCATGCATACTGTGGTGTAAGCTGCTATGATTAGAGCAGGGCAAGCGAAAGTGGTGGTACCTGCTATGATTAGAGTAGTACATGCTGACTCTATAGCAGTATTAATGGACTGTACAGTAGTACATGCTGACTCTATAGCATTAGATATCGACTCTACAGTAGTACATGCTGACTGTATAGCAGTATTAATGGACTGTACAGTAGTACATGCTGACTGTATAGCAGTAGATATCGACTCTACAGTATTAATAGTGATTCTATAGCAGTATTAATAGTGACTCTATAGCAGTATTAATAGTGACTCTATAGCAGTATTAATAGTGACTCTATAGCAGTATTAATAGTGACTCGATAACAGTATTAATAGTCACTCTATCGCATTATTAATAGTGACTCTATAACAGTATTAATAGTCACTCTATAGCAGTATTAATAGTCCCTCTATAGCGGTATTTATAGTGACTCTATAACAGTATTAATAGTGACTCTATAGCAGTATCAATAGTCACTCTACAGCAGTATTAATAGTGACTCTATAGCAGTATTAATAGTGACTCTATAGCAGTATTAATAGTGACTCTATAGCAGTATTAATAGTCACTCTATAGCAGTATCAATAGTCACTCTATAGCAGTATTAATAGTGACTCTATAGCAGTATTAATAGTGACTCTATAGCAGTATTAATAGTGACTCTATAGCAGTATTAATAGTGACTCTATAACAGTATTAATAGTGACTCTATAACAGTATTAATAGTGACTCTATAACAGTATTAATAGTGACTCTATAGCAGTATTAATAGTGACTCTATAACAGCATTAATAGTGACTCTATAGCAGTATTAATAGTCACTGTATAACAGTATTAATAGTGACTCTATAACAGTATTAATAGTCACTCTATAGCAGTAATAATAGTAACTCTATAACAGTATTAATAGTGACTATAACAGCATTAATAGTGACTCTATAACAGTATTAATAGTGACTCTATAACAGTATTATTAGTGACTATAGCAGTATTAATAGTGACTATAACAGTATCAATAGGGACTCTATAGCAGTATTAATAGTGACTCTATAACAGTATTAATAGTGACTCTATAACAGTATTAATAGTGACTCTATAACAGTATATTTAGTGACTCTATAACAGTATATTTAGTGACTCTATAGCACAAAGTACTCACGTGACACAGTGACGCGATGTGGCCGTGAGGTCGACCGAACGCGCATCACGTGGCAGGGTCCGCCCCCCCCCACGTGGCAGGGTCCTCCCCCACGTGGCAGGGTCCGCCCCCACGTGGCAGGGTCCGTCCCCCCACGTGGCAGGGTCCGCCCCCACGTGGCAGGGTCGTGTGCCCATAGGTGGTAGTGGATGTGAAAGACCCAACGCAGATCTCCGGGTTTGATAATCCGTGGGGTTACTCGCCCCCCACCATAGTAATGTGGAGTTTCCACCACTGGTTCAGGGCTGTTTACAGCCCCCCCCCCGCCTCGCCCATACCTCCCCCCCCCCCACAAAACCAAGACCCCAATGAACCCCTCCCCCACACTGTCCACTCGCTCCAATTCCCACCTTCCCCGTCCTACCAGACCCATCCTCACCTACCTCCCTGTGATCCTTCCTAATGACCCCACAATCTTTTCATTAATCAGTCGCGACCCAGTCGCTAGGGTCCACGGTGTCCGCTCGCCACGAGCTACAATTTGCCCGGGGCTTCGATTCTCTCTGCATGCGTCGATGATCCGGCATCATAATTGTTCACCCGGCATAAAACATCCAGCCCGCATCTTTCTATGGCCCTGGTGGCTACTAGTCACGTGCCACCTAATAGGTACCTATTTTATCGACCACTCCCACCGAGGCATGATGATGATGATGGGCTGAGTCAACACCACCCCCTCTCCAGAGCAGGACTTGAACCTGGCCGGGCTTACGATTTTAATGACGCAGCAGAGTGGCGGCAGTCGACCTGGGCACTGAGTCACTTAGCCAGGAGCTGAACTCACCGTATCCGATACAAAGTGGAGGGGGTGCGGCGGTGGGCGGTGGGGGGTGGGGGGGAAGCCGAACTTGGCCGATCCCATCTCTAAATGTAAATTGTGACCACCGAGACCCATTGTCGGGCAGGGCACTGCCAGCCCCCCCCCCACAACGTCCAGCGCGGTGGTACAGTCCGGGTGAGTCACCAAGCCCCGCCCACTCGCCGCCGCCAGTCGCTCGCCCCGCCCACGCGGGCGGTTGGTAATTGTCGCGGGGCGCTCCACCTGGAGTTGCCACCTGTCCCGGTTTCTCTTCCTGGTAAGTTCGCGTTTGCCGACGTCTGGGGAAGTCTCGAATCCTTTCCCGGGATATTGAAAGTCCAGGGTCAGTTGTATCAGCAACAACAATAATAATAATCTCGAGTTGAAGTTTTCGTGACTGCAGGGATCCACACTCTTAGTTTCTTTCGGTAAAGTTCCGTAGTAGGTATAAGATAAAATGTTGTTTTAATTTAAAGTATTTTATTACCTACTTAACTTTACCGAGATACCCATAGAGCGGCTCTCTGTTGATTGGTTGATGAACACGATTGTATTGTTCAAAATAAAACCTCAACCAAAATCTTCAAGAATTGAAACTACAGTATTCAACCGACCTTCACTTGATGTACTTGCAGTGTATAATAGTTTAAAACTTACAGGAATTGTAACTATTGATAAATTGTTAGATTTGAGCCGATTTCATAACTAAACATTAAATGTATCAGAGGCCGAATGGTTAAACACTGTGTTTTGATCTTTTTTCCTTTGCATTCATTAACATTAAAAGGCATTAATCTTATAATTTGTTTTATGCAGTGTTTAAATTGGCCATACTATATATACTTCAAAATGTATTTGTACGAAAAAACGCCTTTGCACTGGCTGCTGTGTGCATTTAATCCACGTAAAATAAATCAGCATTAGCCACTCATAACAGATTTGTAACTCATACAGCAAGTGTAGTCATTACCTGGACCTTAATGAACCACATTAAACCAATCTATTTCGAGCAATATTAAATCACCGAGGGAGTACTCCCAAATAAATTAAGATGCCTGGCAATGTCATTATTATTCTTGGTTCTTTCGGTAAAAGTCACGTAGAAGGGAAACACCTGATGATGACTGCTCGTGTTGCAGTCGAAACTTTGTGAGAATTGTATTGTTTTATATTTTTATTATTTTATTGTTTCCCTTCTACGTGCAGGTGACTTTACCGAAAGAACCAAGAATATGAATCCCTGCAGTCACGAAAGCTTTAAATCAAAATGTCATTATTGTTAAGTACTCACCTTTAACCTTTGCGAGTGGCGTGGCATAGCGCTGCCTGCGACGCCAGTACTGACGCCTGCAGGCCACGGTAGAAACTTGCGAGGGGGACATCTCGGCTAAAGGTCACAGAGGGAGCCAATCGGGAAGGGCGCTTGCAGGTTCCAGAAGGAGGGCGTGGCCGGGGAGGGGCGTGGCCTCGCTGAGAGTCCAGGAGGGGCCCCTGTGTGGGACCTCGTGGCTGTTGCTGGGAAGTGGGATGATTGCCCGTCGTGCTACTCACGTCCATCGTCGTCACCATCTCGTCGTTGCCTCCGAGAGAGAGACAGAGGGATAGAGAAAGGGACAGAGAGAGAGACACAGGGATAGAGAAAGGAACAGACAGAGAGAAAGGACAGACAGACAGAGACACAGAGAGAGACACATAGATAGAGAAAGAGACATACAGAGAGAGACACAGGGATAGAGAAAGAGACAGACAGAGAGACACAGAGAGAGACACAGGGATAGAGAAAGGGACAGACAGAGAGAGAGACAGAGAGAGAGACACAGGGATAGAGAAAGAGACAGACAGAGAGACACAGAGAGAGAGACACAGGGATAGAGAAAGAGACATACAGAGAGAGACAGGGATAGAGAAAGAGACAGACAGACAGAGACACAGGGATAGAGAAAGAGACAGACAGAGAGATACACAGGGATAGAGAAAGAGACAGACAGAGAGAGACACAGAGAGAGACACAGGGATAGAGAAAGAGACAGACAGAGAGAGAGAGAGACACAGAGAGAGAGACACAGGGATAGAGAAAGAGACAGAGAGAGACAGAAACAGAGACACAGGGATAGAGAAAGAGACTGAAAGAGACACAGTGAGAGACACAGGGATAGAGAAAGAGACAGAGAGACACAGAGAGAGAGAGGCAGACACAGAGAGAGACAGAGAGAGACAGAAACAGAGACTCAGCAGGCCAAGTGTTACTAAGTAGACATCGTCACGAGCTGGCATGTGTAGTAGTAATAGTACTGTGTAGTAGTAGTACTGTGTAATAGTACTGTGTAGTAGTAGTACTGTGTAGTAGTAGTACTGTGTAATAGTATTACTGTGTAGTAGTAGTACTGTTTAGTAGTAGTACTGTGTAGTAATTGTACTGTATAGTAGTAGTACTGTGTAGTAGTACTGTGTAGTAGTAGTAGTACTGTGTAGTAGTAGTACTGTGTAGTAGTACTGTGTAGTAGTTCTGTGTAATAGTACTGTGTAGTAGTAGTACTGTGTAGCAATAGTACTGTGTAGTAGTAGTACTGTGTAGTAGTAGTACTGTGTAGTAGTACTGTGTAATAGTACTGTGTAATAGTACTGTGTAGTAGTTGTACTGTGTAGTAGTACTGTGTAATAGTACTGTTGTGTAGTAGTACTGTGTAGTAGTACTGTGTAATAGTACTGTGTAGTAGTACTGTGTAGTAATAGTACTGTGTAGTAGTACTGTGCAGTAGTACTGTGTAGTAGTAGTACTGTGTAATAGTACTGTGTGGTAGTAGTACTGTGTAATAGTACTGTGTAGTAGTACTGTGTAGTAGTACTGTGTAGTAGTAGTACTGTGTAGTAGTAGTACTGTGTAGTAGTATTGTGTAGTAGTAGTACTGTGTAGTAGTAGTACTGTGTAGTAGTACTGTGTAGTAGTAGTACTGTGTAGTAGTACTGTGCAATAGTACTGTGTAGTAGTAGTACTGTGTAATAGTACTGTCTAGTAGTAGTACTGTGTAGTAGTAGTACTGTGTAGTAATAGTACTGTGTAGTAGTAGTACTGTGTAATAGTACTGTGTAGTAGTAGTACTGTGTAATAGTACTGTGTAGTAGTAGTACTGTGTAGTAGTACTGTGTAGTAATAGTACTGTGTAGTAGTAGTAGTGTACTGTGTAGTAGTAGTAGTGTACTGTGTAGTAGTAGTACTGTGTAGTAGTAGTACTGTGTAATAGTACTGTGTAGTAGTAGTAGTACTGTGTAGTAGTAGTACTGTGTAGTAGTACTGTGTAGTAGTAGTACTGTGTAGTAGTACTGTGTAGTAGTAGTACTGTGTAGTAGTAGTACTGTGTAATAGTACTGTGTAGTAGTAGTACTGTGTAATAGTACTGTGTAGTAATAGTACTGTGTAATAGTAGTACTGTGTAGCAATAGTACTGTGTAGTAGTAGTACTGTGTAGTAGTAGTACTGTGTAATAGTATTACTGTGTAGTAGTAGTACTGTGTAGTAATGGTACTGTATAGTAGTAGTACTGTGTAGTAGTACTGTGTAATAGTACTGTGTAGTAGTAGTACTGTGTAGTAATAGTACTGTGTAGTAGTAGTGCTGTGTAGTAGTAGTACTGTGTAATAGTATTACTGTGTAGTAGTAGTACTGTTTAGTAGTAGTACTGTGTAGTAATGGTACTGTATAGTAGTAGTACTGTGTAGTAGTACTGTGTAATAGTACTGTGTAGTAGTAGTACTGTGTAGTAATAGTACTGTGTAGTAGTAGTGCTGTGTAGTAGTAGTGTGTAATAGTACTGTGTAGTAGTAGTACTGTGTAGCAATAGTACTGTGTAGTAGTAGTACTGTGTAGTAGTAGTACTGTGTAGTAGTACTGTGTAGTAGTAGTACTGTGTAGTAGTAGTACTGTGTAATAGTACTGTGTAGTAGTAGTACTGTGTAGTAGTAGTACTGTGTAGAAATAGTACTGTGTAGTAGTAGTACTGTGTAGTAGTAGTACTGTGTAATAGTACTGTGTAGTAGTAGTACTGTGTAATAGTACTGTGTAGTAATAGTACTGTGTAATAGTACTGTGTAGTAGTAGTACTGTGTAATAGTACTGTGTAGTAGTACTGTGTAGTAGTAGTACTGTGTAGTAATAGTACTGTGTAGTAGTACTGTGTAGTAGTAGTACTGTGTAATAGTACTGTGTAGTAGTACTGTGTAATAGTACTGTGTAATAGTACTGTGTAGTAATAGTACTGTGTAATAGTACTGTGTAGTAGTAGTACTGTGTAATAGTACTGTGTAGTAGTACTGTGTAGTAGTAGTACTGTGTAGTAATAGTACTGTGTAGTAGTACTGTGTAGTAGTAGTACTGTGTAATAGTACTGTGTAGTAGTACTGTGTAATAGTACTGTGTAGTAGTACTGTGTAGTAATAGTACTGTGTAGTAGTAGTACTGTGTAGTAGTAGTACTGTGTAGTAGTACTGTGTAGTAGTACTGTGTAGTAGTACTGTGTAGTAATAGTACTGTGTAGTAATAGTACTGTGTAGTAGTAGTACTGTGTAGTAATAGTACTGTGTAGTAGTAGTAGTACTGTGTAATAGTACTGTGTAGTAGTAGTACTGTGTAGTAGTACTGTGTAGTAGTAGTACTGTGTCCTACTACCACTATAATGTGTAGTCTCCTGTATGAGTTTAAGGGGAGACGCAGCAAAAGTAGCAGCAGGAGAAGTTCCATCTCTCTCTTTCGATGTCCCTCTCTCTCTCATCTCTCCCCATCTCACCCCCTCCCTCCCCACGGCTCTCCGTCGCTGAATCAACGCCAAGAAGCCCCAGCGTGCTCCTCACTCCTCGCTTGGAGCTGTCCCTGGTGCGGACAGTTTATATACACGTAATATACAGTTTATATATACATAATATACAGTTCATATATACATAATATACAGTTTATATATACATAATATACAGTTTATGTATACACACAAAAAACAGTTTAGATTACGCATAATCATCATACATCGCCTCACAATAATTTTCATTTCACCACGTAAGGCCCCACATCCATGCTCAGAAATGCCCACACTCACAGAAACCCATACTTACAAAGACCCACAGAGACTCATACCCACAGAAACCCACACTCATAGAGACACACTGCTACCCACAGAGACCCATACCCACAGAGATGCACACTCATAGAGACCCACTGCTACCCACAGAGACCCATACCCACAGAAACCCACACTCATAGAGACCCACTGCTACCCACAGAGACCCATGCTCACAAATGCCCACACTCATAAAGACCCACTGCTACCCACAGAGACCTATACCCACAGAAACCCACACTCATAGAGACCCACTGCTACCCACAGAGACCCATACCCACAGAAACCCACACTCATAGAGACCCACTGCTACCCACAGAGACCCATACCCACAGAAACCCACACTCATAGAGACCCACTGCTACCCACAGAGACCCATACCCACAGAAACCCACACTCATAGAGACCCACTGCTACCCACAGAAACTCATACCCACAGAAACCCACACTCATAGAGACCCACTGCTACCCACAGAGACCCATACCCACAGAAACCCACACTCATAGCGACCCACTGCTACCCACAGAGACCCATACCCACAGAAACCCACACTCATAGAGACCCACTGCTACCCACAGAGACCCATGCTCACAAATGCCCACACTCATAGAGACCCACTGCTACCCACAGAGACCCATACCCACAGAAACCCACACTCATAGAGACCCACTGCTACCCACAGAGACCCATTCCCACAGAAACCCACACTCATAGAGACCAGGGACGTGCGGTCAGGGGAGGCAAGGGAGGCAGAGCCTCACCTGTGATACTCCAATGAAAACAGCTGTTACGAAAAGTAAAAATAAAGAATAATCCAATAAAATAAATATTAAGATTTTTCCACTGATGTGTGTTATGAATGTAATTTCTGTACGATTCCAATCATTTTTAGAGTCAAAATCGCCAAATTTGCGGAGCTCCGCTGCAAATACAGGAAGAGACGAGAGGTGATGCAGCGACGAGCTCAGCCTCCCCTCTGATTGCGCAACCCCTCAGTAACTGGATGGAGCGTGGGCAAAAAGCGCGTGCCTGTTACTATCTCAGTATGTCACCAATATAATGTTTGTAGACCCCTTCATTTCATGTCCTCGCCTTCCATACTCCAGGTAACTTATTTCACGTGTGTGTATAGAGATATGTAGGCTCGCTGGTCTCGTCGTGAAACTGCAATGAAAAAGCACCAGGGGAGGCAGCTCTCACATCTGCCTCACTGAGGGGGACGTGTCTAACACGCCCCCCTCAGTGAGGCCACGCCCACATCAGTGAGGCCACGCCCACATCAATGAGGCCACGCCCCCCTCAGTGTGTAAATCTGGCTCTGACACCAGCCAGTGCCTCCCCCAGCCATTGACCTCACCGCACGTCACCGCTAGAGACCCACAGAGAGCCACAGAAACCAGCACACTCACAGAGACCTACAGAGACCCACACAGAGGTGACGGTGTTGGAGGCGGTGACGGCTGTGATGGTTGCTGTGACGGCACAGGAGGGGCCGAGCAAGAATCCGACCGGTGACAACCGCCGGCCATGGAGAGGGGCCGAGGTCGAGGAGGAGAAGTCAACCGCGGGAGGATCTCCGACATCTCGGCCAGGCTCAGGCAGCTGATTGACGCCGACAGGGGGCAGCGGCGGCCGCCGGACAGGGAGGGCCGGGGGCGGGGGGTCAGCGGCGGGGCCGGAGGCGACAGGGAGTCGAGGAGGGACTCACGGGTGAGGCAGAGGGAGGCGGTGGAGCAGGCGAGGGTTGCGATGGAGCGTGAGGTGTTCTTGAGGGAGCAGTTCTCGCGGCATCGGAGTTCTGTCGAGAGGCGACGGGAGCTACAGGAGCTCGCCAGCCGGGGGCGGAACGTCCACTTCAACCCGACGGAGGAGGTGTGGAGACACGCCGGGGGGGGCACGGCGGGGCGCGGGGGGAGAGGTGGGGGGAGCAGAGTTGGGGGAGGGGGGGTGGGTGGAGCGGGGGGAGGGGTGGAGAGAGGGGGAGGAGGAGGAGGGAGGGCGGAGGGAGGGGGTGCAGGGGGGGGTGGGGAGAGGGGTCGGAGGGGGCGTGAGTGGATGGAGCGACTGCGACAGGCGATGACGCTGAGATGGAACCCGTATCATCAGTTCGGGAGGGGGGGGTCAGGAGGGACGAGCAGTGGGTGAGGGAGGGGAGGGGAGAGAGGGGTGGGAGGGAGGGGAGGGGTGGAAGGAGAGGATGGAGGGGGGTGTGTGCGGCCTGCTACAAGCGTCTCAGCATCGCACCGTGCGGGGGTGGTGGGTGGTGTCAAAATGCCTCCAAGTGTCCCCAGGTCTCCACGTGGAACCCTGAGGAGGTTTCCGCCTTTTTGCGTTCAGGCCTCGGACGTGGAGTTGTTGTAGACATGATGGGCTGAGTCGGCCCCCAACCAGGGATTGAACTGGTGTCCTTCCTCGTTCGATGGTTATCGTTTGGTTGTTGACGTTAATTATTTTGACATTAGGTTTAAAGTTACCTTTGCTGAATGCCACAATTGACACTGGGCGTGCGTTCATTAAAAGCGGTTCAAAATGTGTGGAGGATCGAACTAAATTACCTTATACAGGCTGTGTTTATCTATAGTGAGTATTACATCTGGGTGAAAGGATCCACCAGGGAAGCCTCTGAAACGTTCCCGAAGGTTCCAAGAGGGGCGTGGCCAGAGGCGGGACTTAGCCTCCGCGGAGCGAATATAAGCCGGGGGCACAGCAACGTTAGGGGTCGGTGTTGAAGATCGAGAGGAGCTCCCCATCGCTGCTGCTGCCCCGCCATCTCCACCGGCCACGTGGCGTCGAGACCTCCAGCCGCTCAGCCGCTCCCCAGCGCGCCGTCAGCCGGCGGCGTGTTGCTGAGCGGGGTGAGCGCGGGTGGACATCCGCAGAGAGAGAGAGGAACAAGTCTGCGCGAATATTTATTAATAAACAAACTTCAAGTCTTTACCATGTCGGAGCCACTCATTACATGAATTTAAAAATTGTGTGCAGTGCAAGGGGCATGTCCCCGCAGCTGTATGAAATACACTACACTACACACTACTACACTATACACTACACTTTACACTACACTATACACTACACTACTCTACACTATACACTACACTACACAGTAGTGCTGTGCTAGTACACTATACACTACACTATACACTACACTACACACGAGTGCTGTGCTAGTACACTACACTATACACTACACTATACACTACATGCTAGTGCTGTGCTAGTACACTACACACTACACGATACATTACTCTACACTACACTATACACTACACTATACACTACACACTAGTGCTGTGCTAGTACACTACACTATACATTACACTACTCTACATTACACACTAGTGCTGTGCTAGTACACTACACTATACACTACACACTACACTACACACTAGTGCTGTGCTAGTACACTACACTATACACTACACTACACACTAGTGCTGTGCTAGTACACTACACTATACACTACACTACACACTAGTGCTGTGCTAGTACACTACACTATACACTAAACTACTCTACACTATACTATACACTACACTACACACTAGTGCTGTGCTATTACACTACACTATAAACTACTATACACTACACTACACACTAGTGCTGTGCTAGTACACTACACTATACACTAAACTACTCTACACTACACTATACACTACACTAGTGCTGTGCTAGTACACTACACTATATACTACACTATACACTACACACTAGTGCTGTGCTAGTACACTGCACTATACACTGCACTACTCTACACTACACTATGCACTATTATACACTACACTACTATACACTACACTATACACTACACACTCGTGCTGTGCTAGTACACTACACTATACTCTACACTATACACTACACGATACACTGCACTATACACTACACTACTCTACACTGCAGACTAGTGCTGTGCTAGTACACTACACTATACACTACACACTAGTGCTGTGTTAGTACACTACACTATACACTACACTATACATTACACTATACACTACACTACACACTAGTGCTGTGCTAGTACACTACACTATACACTACACTACTCTACACTACCCTATACACTACGCTATACACTACACTACACACTAGTGCTGTGCTAGTACACTACACTATACACTACACAGTACACTACACTAGTGCTGTGCTAGTACACTACACTATACACTACACAATACACTCCACTACACACTAGTGCTGTGCGAGTACACTACACTATACACTACACTACACACTAGTGCTGTGCTAGTACACTACACTATACACTACACTACTCTACACTACACTATACACTACACAATACACTACACACTAGTGCTGTGCTAGTACACTACATTATACACTACACAGTACACTACACTACACACTAGTGCTGTGCTAGTACACTAAACACTACACTACACACTGCACACTAGTGCTGTGCTAGTACAATATACTATACACTACACTATACACTACACTACACACTAGTGCTGTGCTAGTACACTACACTATACACTACACTACACACTAGTGCTATGCTAGTACACTACACTATACACTAAACTACTCTACACTACACTATGCACTACTATACACTACACTATACACTACACTACACACTAGTGCTGTGCTATTACACTACACTATAAACTACTATACACTACACTACACACTAGTGCTGTGCTAGTACACTACACTATACACTAAACTACTCTACACTACACTATACACTACACTAGTGCTGTGCTAGTACACTACACTATATACTACACTATACACTACACACTAGTGCTGTGCTAGTACACTGCACTATACACTGCACTACTCTACACTACACTATGCACTATTATACACTACTATACTATACACTACACTACACACTCGTGCTGTGCTAGTACACTATACTATACACTACTCTACACTACACATGCTGTGCTAGTACACTACACTATACTCTACACTATACACTACACTATACACTACACACATGCTGTGCTAGTACACTATACTCTACACTATACACTGCACTATACACTACACTACTCTACACTGCAGACTAGTGCTGTGCTAGTAAACTACACTATACACTACACACTAGTGCTGTGTTAGTACACTACACTATACACTACACTATACATTACACTATACACTACACTACACACTAGTGCTGTGCTAGTACACTACACTATACACTACACTACTCTACACTACCCTATACACTACGCTATACACTACACTACACACTAGTGCTGTGCTAGTACACTACACTATACACTACACAGTACACTACACTATACACTACACTAGTGCTGTTCTAGTACACTACACTATACATAACACAATACACTCCACTACACACTAGTGCTGTGCGAGAACACTACACTATACACTACACTACACACTAGTGCTGTGCTAGTACACTACACTATACACTACACTACTCTACACTACACTATACACTACACAATACACTACACTACACACTAGTGCTGGGCTAGTACACTACATTATACACTACACAGTACACTACACTACACACTAGTGCTGTGCTAGTACACTAAACACTACACTACACACTACACTGCACACTAGTGCTGTGCTAGTACAATATACTATACACTACACTATACACTACACACTAGTGCTGTGCTAGTACACTATACTATACACTACACTACACACTAGTGCTATGCTAGTACACTACACTATACACTAAACTACTCTACACTACACTATGCACTACTATACACTACACTATACACTACACTACACACTAGTGCTGTGCTAGTACACTACACTATACACTACACTACACTATACACTACACACTAGTGCTGTGCTAATACACTACACTATACACTACACTATACACTACACACTAGTGCTGTGCTAGTACCATAAACTATACACCACACTACTATACACTACACTATACACTACACGCTAGTGCTGTGCTAGTACACTACTATATACACTACACTATACACTACTATACACTACACTATACACTACACTATACACTACACTATACACTCGTGCTGTGCTAGTGACGAATTGGCACGTTCTGTTTACGTGACAACCCTTACTAGTTGGCTGTGTCGGGTGGTGGCGGGTTTTAACGACACAACATTTATATATTTACGCGATGAAACCCAAAAAACTTCTATTATGGATTCACTACGTTATAAACAACATATTTGCACTCATAAGTCGCTTGCCTACTCGGTGTTTCGTATCGAATCTCATCTCAAACAATCAAAGGGTGCCCCTAAGTGGCAGCTGCCCCTGTGTGGCACAAGGTGGCCCTACACCGGCCTGCACGTGGCATGAGTCTGTCGGTAAGGGGGGGCGATCATTGACGCGTCATCTCCCTTGTGGAGATTCTGGATAATGTTACTGGAATTACCACAATTTTGACTGTGACACCAACACGCAATGACCCGTGCGTTTTGAGTGACACAATACTATGTTTGACAGCGGCTGTTGAGCAGACTGCGCATATGGTGGTGAATGTTACTGGGGTAGCCAGGTGTGCCTGTCGGGTTTGAACCTTAAACCTCTGCAACAAATAGAGAATGCGCTACCATATTCCTGGTTCTTTCGGTAAAGTCACGTAGATAGAAAACAAAAAATAAACAGAATAAAAGATAAAAATAAAAAATTAACATTTTAATAAAATTAATAACAAGTAAAAATAGTAAATTGAAAATAATAAATTGATGAAAAGATGCCATGGGTCGACTGACTGAGATGACTGGCCAATGCACCACCTGTGCCCCTCACTACACACACACAGTGTACACACACACAGTGTACACACAGTGTACACACAGTATACACACACACACAGTGGACACATACACAGTGTACACACACACAGTGTACACACAGTA